GTAAATTCAGTAGTATTCGACCAACCTGAACTTAAACTGCAAATTCTCAAAGGTATTGAAGAGCTGTATGACCATAATACAAAATGAGAATTAGTTCTTTTATTTTTCTATCCAGTTTGCGTAATGCGTATCTTCGAAAAAAGTTAGTTAGAATAACATCTGAAAATTTAATTAGTGCTCAAGTCTTTTATGCCTACGCGCAGGATGATGCATACTCAACACTAACCGACAGAATCCAATGTATAACTATCAGACAGGAAGATGTGAATACCAAGATGTTGTGGCCTCGGGTATGGTGTAACCGTTTCCAGCAGAACGGTTAGTCGAGGGATTGACTTCACTTGTCTCTTTAACGAGTTCGTATCTTGTTTTTCAGCAGAACGTTTGTCGAGGGATTGGCTTCACTTGTCTCTTTGACGAGTTCGTAGCTTGGTGCCGCAGAATGGCAAGTCTCACTGATGATGCCGACTACGATGCCGGCGAAACGTCTGAGAATGTATCAAGTCCACAGGAATGGCAAGTCTCACTGATGATGCCGACTACGATGCCGGCGAAACGTCTGAGAATGTATCAAGTCCACGGTGGGATGCTAAGAAGTCAAGACAACTACTATGGCAGACGACTTCGGACTCGGTGCGTTCTACATAGTCTCCCTGAACACAAGACCAAGTTTGCGACAACGAGGTCAACCCACTTCTATCAGACAGGAAGTTCGCTATTTTTAACTGTATCATTTCTATTTCCAAAATATGAATTATTCATTTTTGGTATAGTTTCAAAACTGGAATGAGAAACAAGAACAAATAATTCAGGACTATATCTATTCTGAAAGATGCCACAATTTATCTGAAGAATTCATAGCTATTTGGATGTCGAAATTCACATCACATAAGTCAAATTTCTTTTGCAGCGAAGTACCAATCAAAGCTCAGAATGATATTGAGACCATGTATAATATCATAAAATTCGGGTTCGTAGGCCTATCTTCTCCCATTTTGATGTTGTAAAACTCCATAGAACAACGTTACATGAAAGATCATTTTGCCGGATATATATATATATATATGTATATAACTCCTTTGGATGTGAACACCCTCAAGGTGCACCAACAGCTATCCACTAAATTTTTAGCTGCTCAATGTGAAATCCTGATAAAATTTAGGGCTGAAGCCTCCAAATAATTAATTGCGGTTTAGCCTCATTTTCGTAACTTAGCCCTATTGTCAGGTAAATCTCAATGAATACACCTTATCCGAATGCCTTTGTCACATTCATGATAATTTCGAGTGTCAGAGCATGGACTTAGCGCATTCCCAAATGTTCTGCCGACATCTTCAGTGAACCTTGTCATCCGTAACACCAAGTTAAGACCAGTCATAGATAAATGAAATTCATCCTCTAGACAACCTTTAGTCGGAAGATTGTGGTATCTCTTCTTCTCTCCCAGTGAATCCACATATATCTATCCTCTCATCTCATTCACTATCACAACTTCTAATTTATTTAGACTAGACTACTCTAGATATGAAATTTTAATCAAGTTTGGTGATGCGTTCTCACGTTTCTGGCAGGTTTCCTCTCCCTCCTCCCCGATGTGCCAGAGATGCTGATTCGACTTGGCTTCTTCAGCAAACTACTCCATTCAACTCCTATCTGAATCGAACTCATTCTTATCTTATTTGAATGACTTAGCTCGGATCTAGCCAGAGTTTGCTGATCGGAGTAGCCCTAACAACCCAATAGACTTTCGGAAACAATAATAAACCCTTTCTATACCTCAAAAGGAAACTGTGACCAAAATAGAGGCCACACCAGCTTGGTCTAGATATATGTATCAATGTTTAATTTTAACGAGGAGCATGAAAAGATAAGAGAGTTTGCGTAAAAAGTTAATCGCCTAAGCCTTCATAGATAGTGAAAAGGCTCTGTACTCAAAGTAAGAAGCAAAAATGAAACAGAATAGATAAACGATGGTAAGAAATAACTGTATATCACGGAGTAAAAAGTATATATGCATATATGTATGCGCGTGAATGAGGAGAATTCAAGTACATGACATCAGATTCGGAGGAATGCCTGGTTGTAGTTAAGTGCAACAAACGGTTCACGTAGCCAGCTTGGTAGACAATGGGAGCAAGGGAAGATGAATGAAGTAAACCAAGCAGCAGTGCCGATTAGCAGAAAGAATTGTTTGTGCAATCAAAAAATTAATGTAAGTTGGATAATTTGGAAATGGTAGCAGTGAAAAGCGATGATCACATCGGTTCTCAGCCTCGGTCGTGCTTACTCACCAAATGTCTGAGTGCTAAAGTAATGGAAGGCAAATGAAATGAAGAACTAGAAGAATGAACTTTAAAGGGAAATACATATAAAAATAGTCTTGGGAACTAGAAAGTGGGAGCCATGAAGATAAAAAAGAACTTAGCCGAAAGAGTTTTCGCCACTGTAATGCGCATAAAGAAAGCCGTCGGCGTCTCGACAGTCCTCATATAGTTGCCCAAGGGTGGCGCTGAAAGATGTGGAGGAAAATATGGAATATATTGGCAGAGTAGGGACTAAATAGATGCGAGATCATATACATGTCGTGTTTTATAACTTAAATTGACTAGGTAGTAAAGCAAAGTGATGAAGGGAAAACGTTATAGATTATAGGAAAAGATATGATATAATAGAACCAGTCAAGTTTAAACAATTATAATGATTAGCCTACCGGCTATGTGAGAATAAACTAAGTGACACGTTAATTTAACTTCAGTTGGAAGGAGTTATCAGCTAACAGTGAAAGGAATAAAGATAATTTGTAAGGTACGTTTCAATTTAGTTCTGAAACAGAAGAAATTAGGCCGGAAGGAAAAATCATTAACACTTATGGCCTCTATTCTGGTTTTATAAGAAAGGTTAAGCATGAATAGAAAGTAGTGTACAAAGGATCAAATCCAATTCAACTAGGATCAGGATGTTTTAGATGGAAAGAAACACAATTCGAAATTACTAGTGGCCTAACTCCATAAATTATTATTAAGCATAAATGTTATATTTAAAAACTGTGTCCCGAATAAACTCGATCTTAATTAGGAGTCGAATGTAAAGGTTGACAGAATAGCAGCAGAAGTGTTAAAAGCGTCATAAACTAAACAAAGGAATTGTAAGCTCAGATTAACGAGAACAACAATGTGAAAACATGAATTCGGACCCTTTTCGCCCAGCGTGAAAGGTATTATGGTCGAACAAGTTAGATCAAATTAATTGTCAGACCTGCTTAAGAATGAGGATAACCTGAGTAAATCAATAAAAAATAAGGGAGTCCTATCCAGTGAAATATTTAAGCCGACTTGGTGCAAATGCGATATGACATACTGTCAAAATAAAATTTGAGTCTCGTAGAGAATAAAATATAGATAAATGCGAGGCAAATGGAATAATATGTAAATCATGAGAATAGTCGTGTGACAAAGCTAGGTTAAATGAAAGTTTGTTATTAAATGTCCTTCCTATTAAGATTGAGCAAACGTCCAAACCCGAGTCACATGCAAAAATGCTTATGAGGCATCTGGTCACGGGTTTAAAATACAGCTTCCTTCTAATTAGCTAGAGAGAAATGAGCAGTAAGGTGGATAAATCGAAAGGAAATCTCTGAAAATTAATACACTAGGAGTGTCTAGGTATTTTTCACAAGACTTACCTAGCCTGCGGCATAGTTTTGCCGAAAAATAGAAACACAGCCTTTTCTGCAGATAGGTTTATGCGCTTCCGAATTATCCACATGAATTGAGCAATTGTGATGTCATCTGGGACAAGAAACTTATGCTTGTCGATATCAGCAATATTCGAACTGGGATGTCGCTCAATAATGACCTAAAATTAGTAAATAAAACCGAGATCAAAAGGCTAATTGAGTGAAGAGTCATAATAAAGTAAACTTAAATTCGTATTTTAATTACTAATTAGTATGTTTAGGATAGGTGTTATTAGTCTTGATCAATATCGCCAAAGCGC